GGATGCAGATGGGACAGGTCAGGAGCTAGACAGAGTGTGTGTGCTGGTGGCCATGGAGTGATCTCCAGACTTCTGTGCTTGGACAAGGTCCTGTGGAGATGAAGAGTAGAATTTAGCATGAGAGAGACACGGGGGCGGGGGGAGGAGAGGGAAGAGAGAATGTCTCCATAGCTGGGAAGAGAAGAGGAGAGGAGAGGAGATGGGAGGGGAGGGGAGAGAGGGGAGAGAGAAGAGAGAGGGGAGAGAGGAGAGAGAATGTCTGTCTCCATAGCTGGAGCCCAGGCCAAATTCATTCAAAGTGCTGTGCTGGGTTCATGCCGTGCCTGGCTCGGAGAAGAAAGGAGATGTTACCTGTTCCACAGCATTCTTTGTTTTCAGAGAAAAGTGAAGTTGATTTCACGTACACCAAGACCAGGCAGAGAGCTGGGCTTGGAGGGGCAACTTAAAAAGGAGGCATCATGACAAATCTCTGATCAGCCAGAGTCTGTATCTCCTCTAGCCATTGCCTGACTGTTCTAAGTGTCCACCTCCTCATCACCCACTCCCTGGTCCTTTAAAACACCTTGTTGTCGGGGCTGGGGATTTAGCTCAGTGGTTTCACTGCCTGCTGTGCAAGCGTAAGGACCCGAGTTCGATCCCCAGTACCAAAAAAAAAAAAAGACAATAAAACACCTTGTTGTTATTATATAAGAAACACACACACACCTTTTCTGAAAATACCACAATGTAACTGAAAAGGCCTAACCATCCCCTGGCTCCTGTGAGCTGGCCTTCTGGAGCTGTCTATGTGGAACCATGAGAGGCCCTTGGATCCTGGCAGCTGGCTGCTAGTCAGTGCCCAAGGGAGGTACATGCTGTCTGCAAGACCTATGATTATTGAGCTCTTTTGGAGTCCCCCTGCCCCAACAGGTTTAATTATGGGTCCAACTTCTGTGCCCATGAGAAGAGTAGCTCAGGTGTTCTCTGTGCCTAGTTTTGGAAGATTGTGTTTGTCTTTTGCACCTGAATTGTCAGATATATTGGCACAACATTATGTATAATGTCCTCTCACACCTTTAAATGTGTACAGAACCACAACCTTTACCTTTTTGTGCCTTGTGGTGCTATGGGCTTTTGTTCCATCTCTCTTTCTGGCTGGGCTCAGTAGTTATATTATTCTAGCTTTCTTGGCCCACACATCTGCTTTCTGGACTCAGTTTGCCACTGTCTGTTGGGCAGTTGCCCTTTTCCATGCTGTGTCCACAGTGGAGAGTGACTGTCCTTCTGGGTGTTAAGTATGCTGTCTATCTTGGTGTCTACCTCTCATGAGTGTTTCAGAGAAAGGCTTTTTTTCTCTGCTGGGCCTACTGTCCCCAAGCTTGGGGCCTTGCTGAGGGTTCCCACTGTATCACCAGGTGGTGCAAGAGCAGCTGCCCAGTGTGTGCAGCTCATTCCTAGGCCCTGGTGCCCCACTGAGCACACATTACCCTCCCCCCCACCACCACCACGAGTTCTGTCTGCTCAGTTGGTTCAGTTAGTTAATACTTGTCTGTGCTTTTTCTCCTAAAAGTTGACTAGCTTATTTATGTGGCCTTCATCTTCTTCCATGTTGTTTTCCTGGTTTTATGCCATTTCTTCCTTTTGCACATACTTGACAACCTGTTGGAAGTAGCACAGAGCAGCATGTTCTGTGTGGTCTGGGAATATTTTTTGCATGAGAATATCATTCAATTTTGGCTTGACCTCCTAGCCAAAGCCACCTTCCTCATGCTATATTTGCTGTCACACATGAAGGAAGGAAGCTGGGCTGTCTTGTCCGCTGAGGCTCTCAGCAGTGACACGGCTCCCAGTGGGGAGTACCAAACAGCTGTCTGGAGAGTCCCAGTGCCAGGCACCAAGGCTTCCTGCCTGCCTGCCAGGAAGACTGTTATCTTTCTTGCTTGCCTGTGGTTCTTTCATCCAGAACTCATAGTTGGGCCAACAGTTGGCTGCTTATGTGGCTGCTGATTTTAGACCCCTACTCTGTTTTGGAGATATACAGGACCAGAGGACCAGAGTTGAACCTTAAGGAGTTGAATAATATTTAGAACACTGATTTTTGTGCCATGAAAGGATATTTTTCTTTAAACAACAACAAAGTTATTTTAAGAGAAAAAAATGTTACTTAGAAGTTAGATGAAGACAAACAGATTTGAAGATCTGCAGAGAGTGATTATGTATTTGGACTCATGAAATGAAGGTTGTGACTTTCACTTTGCAGTGGGACTCAGCAGCCTCCAGGGGAGGGGTCTCAGTCTTCTTAAATAGGCAGTTGTTAAAAGTGGTTTCTACCTGCCTTTCCTGGGGATTGTCTGATTTTGGACTGCTAGCATTACTGTGACTGTTTTAAATAGAAAAGGTACCTACATGTGATATAGCAATTAATTAATTAATTAATCTTAGGAGCAAAAAGCAGCTTTTAATGATGCCGGTGGCTCAGTGAGTGACTCCTGTCAGTCTTGAGAGCCCCAGATAGAATTTTACACTTCCTTATTTACCTCTTTTACATCTACGAAGCTTAATTCCATTGGAGTTTCCCTGGGAATATAGCAAGCAGGATATGCGCAAAGCAGAGCAGTGGAGAGGGGGAGAGCAAAGAGTTCTGGCAGGACTTTGTCTGGTGATATAGCAATTGATGTCATAGATACTGGCATCTTGATTTGAGCCCCCATGTACTTTTCCACTTTCTGTTCATGACACCCTTTCTTATTCAGTGCCACCTAAGAACATTCTGCAGAGTTCTAGGAAGTTGGACCCAGTGAACTTGTTTGCTGAAGCCAAGAAGTATGTGGAAATTGTTAGTTATCTGTATGCATCAAGGAATCACATATAGTTTTTATTAACAGCTTGCCATGTGCAATGTCAGTAATGCATGAGGAAACAGTGCAGTGAAGAATGTTAGGAAATCTGTAGCCCCTCTATGACAGCTGTCTTACTTGCCCTGGAAAGCATGAAGTCATGGACAGCCCAGGGTGTGGTCATGTTGCTTCAGAAAGTGACAAGAAGCTGAAAGATCTGTGTGGCAGAGCCCATGGTGATTAGTTATGAGTGGAGAGCCTTTTTATCTATTGCTGTGGTCACTTTGTAGCTCTGCGCTCCTTGGCCATTGCCCATAGGACTGTAGGATGATCTTGGCTGGCCGAGAGCATCATGCCACAGGCTAGGAAGTTTTTCCATAGTATCTTCTCGTAGATATTGCTGCTGCAGAGGTGACCCTGTGATCCTAGAGTTGGTGCTGTTGCTCTGTTTCATAGTATTGGACCATTTTTTAGAAATAACCCTAAGTGTTAATATCTTTTTTGTTAGAATTTTCTTCCTTTTGATAAATGTATCCCTATTTTTATGTCATAGCTTGAAATCAAGCTGAAATATAATCTCTCCTTCCTGATGGTGGGCCACATGGTGGTGGACTTCATTTAGTGCCTGCCACTGAGTAGGGTGACTGCTCGGGCTCCTTGCTGCACTGCAGGGTTTATTGTGATGCCTCTGGGAGTAGGTGATGTGGAATCCCATCTGTAGTGCACAGGAAGAATGCAGAGGCCACGGGGCTGTGGGTGGGGTACTCAGTGTGTCTGAGAAACTTCTAAACCTCTAGTTCCAGGTGCTCCTGTGGCTCAGGCCTGCCTGTGGGTCTGTACTGCTGTTGTTGCCCTTGGCCTTGTAGTGGCATGACCCTCTACCTGCTGGCTCCTTTGCTCCTACCTTCCTGCTCCCTCTCAAATGCCCTTCCCACTGTGCCAAGCTTCTTGATGCCTGTTGAGGCACAGCAACTGGTCAGTGGACTTTCTTGTGAGGTTCTGCCTGCCTTGTGCTCCAGGAGATCGCGTCACCCTCCTGCTCAGGTGATATTTGGGCTCCCTACACCAGCTTGTGTGTGCCCACTTGCAGTTTTCTGTTGGGTGAAATGAAGGTCTGTGGCATGGTCAGGTGGGCAGCAGGACTCAGAAAGCGTGTTGTCAAGAATATTTATTGTGGTTTTCTTTAGTGTGAAAAGTTTAGGATAGATTTGGCGCACTGAAGGGGGGATAATTAAGTGAGAATGCTTGCTGGTGATCTTAGAAACCACATGTTTTCAAGGACCTGGGAAACTTGATGGGCAGGGTGAGGCTGTGAGAGGATGGACCAGTCCAAGCTCAGGTCAGTCAGACCATATGACCTTGGTTGAGTTGCTGCTATATGCTGGCATCTTCCTCTGCTCTAAATAGGGCAGCAGAGCACTACCTTACAGGGTTACTTAAGGCCATAAGTTGTACATTCATGGTGTTTCAGACAGCACTAGGTACCTAGGACATGTTCATATGTCAGCTTCAATGATTCCCAAATATGTTAAAAATGGATACAAGTGTAAACGAGCATGTGTATGTTCATACATAGTCATACACATGCTAACGCACACTGACACGTGCTCACTTACATCTTCACACACTCAATACTTGTACACTTTGTACACACATGGTCACACACCCTTGTGTACATATTCATATGGATCTACATATGTGTGTACTTGTTTACACATCATTCACACACACCATGTGCACATCTTCATGAATATATACTCAAGTACATGTTCACAGACATGTATGTTCATGTTTGTGCTCTCTGGTAGAGATATACTGAGTGCTGAAGGTAGTATCTTCTGAGATTATGGCTCATTTCTTACTATTTCGGGGTCTTTCCAAATGCTCTGCAGTGAAGTACTACTTTTCTATGATTAGAGAAAAATCTGCTAGATTATTGAAGAAGGTTCTAAGAAATTCTGAATCTTTTCTAAGGGATTTATAGTATTGAAAATGTGGAAGACAATGGAAATGAAAATAGTGGGAAGCATAAAGGTGGCTGGTTCCTAATATGTTAAAAAGAACCCGTGGGTTCAGATTTTTGGCCTTCACTCTTGCCACTTGTGTGGGTGCCCAGGCCATAGGGGTTACTGTGTAGCTCTTTGATGGTTGTGTGGCCTGACCCTGTGTGCTTTTCCTCCCCAGGTGGTGCACATGCACAAGCCACACTTCATGGCCTTGCACTGCCAGGAGTTTGGAGGGAAGAACTATGAGGCCTCCATGTCCCATGTGGACAAGTTTGTCAAGTAAGTCTCAGGGCAGGTAACAGTGGGAAGTGGTATGGATCTGTGCATTGGGTTGTGGTTCCCACTTTTGTCATTGGGACTCATCTGTGGATTAGATCACGTTGGGGAGTTAGAGTTTTCCACAGAAAGAAGGCATGGCTCAGATGTTAACAGTTACTTGCCTGCACAAGGGCAAGCATCTGTGGTCTGAGGCTAGAGGATATTGCCCTGGGGACCTGGCAGAGCAGTCCTTGTCACTGTGTGTTAAGATCATGCCTTGCCTGGCTGGATGCTAGCCAGCCTGCTGTGGTGGATGACAGGCAGGACTGGTTTCCATGCACCAGCATCTTGTCATAATGAGATTGGCAGCTTAAGCTGCCCAAAAGGTGAAATTTATGTCATTCAGGAAGAAGGAGCGATATGCATGGTGCCAGCTGCTATGTGCATCCCTGTGGTTCCTTAGAGATTCTGCCTGGTCCTGCCTGAGAAGAAGAGGCACCTGGGCCTCCAGGTGGTTCTGGAAAGTGGATGTGTAAAGGCACAGAGGGAAGCAGGTGCCCAGTTCTGAGTGCCTATGTCCAAAAGTGGGGACTCATATCCATGGTCCTCTTCTTCCTGTTCTGAATTCGAGCCCTGAAGTCTGGAAGCCTCTGTCTTCTCTTAGGCACTATTGCCCATTCTGTCTCTCTCAAGTCTTACTTCTGGAAACTTCTTGGTCATGATCAAATAGTCTTACCAGGCAGTGAAAAGCAAGGAGCCAGGTGGTCAGAGAATCCTAAATGCAGTTTCTGATCGGAAAATGGACTGAGATTCTAGAAGGATGATGAAACCACATCAGGCTTACATCAGGATCATTTCTTCTTCCTGTGATATGGCTCTGAAGGAAATCATTTAGGTCATGGCTCTGATCATATCCAGTGTCTTGGAAGTGCTTGAGAAAGAAGCATTGGTACAGGCATGTTGGAATAGGGTCCTGAGCATATGGCTCTGGCCTCTGTCCCCATCATGTATGAGGTACTCTCCTGGGGATCTTTGGTGTCCCCTCCAGCCCAGCCCTGGCTGCTACCTTTTCCTATCCCTTAGGTCCTATGAGCAGCCCATATAAGCTTGACAAGAAGAGCAGGAAACACTGCCACTAATGCTGAGTTGCTTCTGTTGATGAACAACATGATCTTCAAGGCCCCATGTCCATAGAAGGACACTGGGGCCAATGTGTCACAACTGGGAATTTTCTCCCGAACAACACATGACTGGTGGAACAACATTACAATATTTGTGCAAAGGACTGGCAGGTGGTATTTCTGCAGAAAATGATCCAGGATGATTGCACGCATCTCCTGCAACTGATCTGGCCTCTCCTTTCTGCCCTCTCAGCCCCATATATACCTGCTGGAGCCATGTTCAGGTGTGTGGCTTTCCTGGCAGGGAACAGGGCTGAGAACATGGCTGTAGTGTGTCCAGAGTTGAGAGTGTTCCAGCTTCCACCAAATCCACCCCCCTCCCCTCATGAATGGCTCTGAGTGGTCAACATGATTGACAACGAGGGCAGGAGTCTCTTGAACACCACCCAGGGTGTATGGGGTCTCTGGCAGAGATATGAAAATGTATAATGTAGTAGTCAGGGGAAGGGTTTGGTTGTCTGAGGTGTTTGACTGTCTGGATTTCTCCCCTGCCTGGATTACTTCTTTCTGAAGGCTGGTTTGCTCTTGGTAAGTGTGCAGTCCTTGGGCAAGGGCCAGCACCCTGGATATGTGTGTGGTTAGCCTGCCTCAGGGACAGTCAGCTGGCCATTTTCTGAGTCTGAGGTTTATGATCAGCATTTGGTGTATGGCTGGTTCTGGACCTCAGGCTGGTGTGGAGCTGGGAATGCTGTATTGGCTGTAGACAATGAGGGACGTGACCTCATGTGGAAGCCTTGCTTTGACTCTTCACGTTGGCAGTGATAAGCAGTTTCTCCGTGGTTCCCAAAACACCCTCTGGAGCAGAAGACAGCTCAGGCTGGGGCTTGTCTCAAATGAAGCCTTGGTGGTGTAGGAGCTTGGCCCCAGGGTGCTTCAGGGTGGCACCCAGCCCCTGGAGGACAGTGTGATGCCACTCCTCATCTGTGCTATTGTGTCATGCTTTCTTAGAGCAGTAGGGCACCCTTGACTGCATCCCAAGTAAAAGCTTGGAAGATATGCCTGCACATAAAACTTGCCTGTGACCTGTGTATCAGTTGATATCATTTGTTTGTTTATTGTGAAGTTGCCTCTGGCTAAAGGTGGATTTTTCTCTCCTGTGACTACCCATTCCTGTAAGTCCAAACAACATATTATCCAGAAAGCAATCAGTACTCTCACACTATGAACTTTTGTTACTGTATGTCTCTGAAACACATTTTCAAAATAAATTATGGCTAGAGGAAACATGGAAAGAAGGAGAACTTTTAGAGGGTGTGTCCATTAGAAATCTACCTTGCAGGCAGGTCTACAGAAATTCCAGTCACTGGGAACAAATATAGTGAATGATATTGTGTTATCTTTCTATAAGAATAGAATATAAATTAAAAAGTATGTGTTAGGCTGTTTTGGAAAGTGTTGAAGGAAATTTGGAAACGTTGTAGTGGGTGGTATTTTTTCAAGGGAACCAACACTACATAAAGTCTGTCTTCAGTGTCTTTGACAATGTGGGCTTGACATCCACTGTGGAAAAGAGTTCTTATTCCCTTGTCTAGACTCTGGGCTCCCAATGACTGCTCTGACCCATGATGTGGCAGAGCCTTAGAACTCCTAGAGCTGGTCATTGAAAGCCTCTAAGGTGTAAGGAAAGCAAGCCACATGCAGGGCTGTGTAGGGGTGTTCTGGATCTATGGTGGGTTGCTAAGCCTTCCCTGCATTAGACAATTCTGCTGTGTCCTGCTGTCCAGGGGCCAGGTGTTGGGAGTGACGCAGCTGGCTATGCTGAATTCCTACTACTTGAGGTCCTTAGCATGAAAAGGAGTTGTTTTTTGGGCTAAAATACCTGCAAGTTTCCCCAAAATAATCTATAATTTCAGGGCAGTTTTAAAGAAACTGTTAAGGCATTTTTCCCAACACTTAACAAACTAACACTGAAAGTGCTGTGGAAAAGCAAAGCATGAAGAACAGCTAAAGTGACCCTGAGGAAAAACGAGTGTGGTTCCAGCTAACACAGTTCCAAAGAATAATGAGGTGCCATTTCTGCCAGCCAGACCCCCACCCCCCACCCCGTGGGAACAGCTTGCATGGGCTGACAGGTATGCGGGGTGTAGAGTGGGATGCCTAGCCAGGCTTTTTCCCTGCTTCCTGTGGTACGTGGCACTAGAGCAGGACCCTGGGTGTCCTGAGTTGGGAAGGATGGAATTGCATCCTTACTTTTCTCCCCTGTGGCAGAACAAATTTCAGTTGTATAAAAGTAAAAATTTGAGAGTAAGCTATAGGAGAATATCTATATAGCTTTTTTTTTTTTTTTGGTATCGGGGATTGAACTCAGGTCCTTGCACTTGTGCAGCGGGCAGCCAAAACCACTGAGCTAAATCCCCGGCCCAATATATAGCTTTGAAATTGTAAGAAATTTCTTTAAAAGGGGGCAAAATAGTAGCACAATTCATAACAGTTAAATCTTTGAAGCAGGCTTTGTGTCCCTCAGTAGATGATAGGTAAGGAAAATGTAGTATTTACACACAGTGGAGTATGATTTTGTGTAAAGAAAGATAAACTTGAGTGGTTTATAGGAAAACAGATGAACCTTGAGATCATAATAATGTTAAATGAAGTAAAGCAGACACACAAGCTTAAATATCACATGGTTTCTTTTATATGAGAAACCCAAATTATAAATAAAGAGCAAAATAAAAGATAGGTAATAGGAAGTAGGGAGATAGATCTTCCTCAAATTAGGAGATCAAGAGATAGAGGGAGGGGAGAGAATAGAGATGAAAAAAGGAATTGAGATGTGTTATGCACATGTACCAATTCCACACAAGGAATGTAAACATTATGTACTGCAAAATGTACTAATAAAAAAGACATATATGACCATGTTAAAATTAACTGCATTGTTTATAAAGTGGCACTCTAAACAAAGAAGCTACACTGGAAAAATCACCTGTAGCACATTTTACTGACAGAAATTAGTATTTAAATATATGAGGAATTCCTGCAAGTTATTAAGAAAACTGCGCCAATTGGAAGAGTGGTTGATCCCCGTAGAGGATCCCATAGGGCACACATGCAGGCCAAGTGGCTGTCTTCTCTATGTGGTTGCCCCAGGAGCCTCTCCAAGCAGTGGCTTGCTTTGTTTTTGGCCCTCAGTGCAACTGTCCTGGGTATTTCCCTTCCCTGTGTGATGCTCACATGCCTCGTTACTATTTTTGTCTTAAACAGGTCAGTTAGACTTTAAGATTGAAAAGTGGGAAAAATTACCATCTATTTTTACCAGTTCATTTACCACTTTTAGTGCTTTGCTACTCATGTGGATCCCGTTTTTTATCTGGATCATTTTCCTTCTGCCAGAGAACTTTCTTTACCGTTTATTTTAGCACAAGTCAGCTGCTGTTGATTCTCTCAGCTTTTGTTTGTTTGAAAAAGGTCTTTGTCTTGATTTTTGAAAGACATGTTTGTTGGAAATAGAATTCTAGCTTGTTAGGTTTTTTTCTTCACCACTTTAAGGATGTCATTTCATGGTCTTCTGTGTTACATTGTTTCTGATGAGAATTTGCCCCTTGTTCTTATCTCAATATTCTTGTATATAATGTGCTCCCCCACCCCGAACTGCTAGATTTTTGTCTTTATAGCTGGTTTGTAACAACTTGATTATGTGTACTTTGGTTTGATTTTATTTTCAACTGGCGGGTTTATAATTCTAAGCAAACCTGGAAATCATTTGTCCATTCTTTCTTTAAATGCTGCTTTTCCTCTCTCCTTCCCCCTCGTCCTCAGACTCCTGTATGCTGATGCTGCCCATAGCCCCAGAGCCCTTCCCTTTCACTCTGCTTCTGTGGTGGGTTTGTGAGTCCCTGGTCTGTCCTCAGGCAGGTTTAATTTAACCTTAAATCCATCCAGTGTGTTTATTTCTAGTAGGTATATTTAAGCCCCCAAAATTTCCTTTGTGGTTTTTAGATCTGTCTGTCTTCATTACATTCGTGAAGTCTTAAGACTGTTCATATTTGTGATTGCTCTTTTGAGGTTCTTTCAGAAAATTCCATCATGTTTGTCCTTTCTGGGTCTGGTTCTGTTCATGGCTTTTTTTGAACGATTATGGGCCATGAGTTGGTCTTTTTTGCATATCAGGTAACTTGGATGTGATGCAGATAGGATTCGAGTTAGTTCAGTGTTGAGCCTTGTTGTCCTTCCTCAGAGCACTTTGACACTGTGTTTGCCAGCAGTTGGGTACCTGAGGGCCCACTGGCATCCATCAAGGCTCACCATTGTTTTTGCCTTTTCCTGACTCACATCCTGCTAGAGCTCAGGCCTTGCTCCTCCTACTGCCTGTCTCTTGCCTTTCCACTCATGGGTCCCTGTGTATGCAGTGCTTCCTCCTCAGGAAAGACAGAGTGGTCATCTGCTTAAGATTTGTGAAACATGAGAAGAAGACAGTAGGGCTGGAACTACATGCTGATGGATGATGGAAAAGCTGTGATAACTGTCACCACCCTCATCTTGGTCTGGAAGGAGCAAACAAGGGCAGGACTAGGTAGGCTCTGGCTGTGTGTTTGTGGGTGAAGGCTCCTCACCTGTCAGATCCTGTTTCTTATTAGGATCAAACAAAAGTGCCAGGAGACTGTACTCTTTGGAATCTCACACTTTCTATGGCAGGTGGCCTCTGCCAGTTCTCAGTATCCCTACCTCAGTGTCTCTATCCCTGGAGGCCTCAGGGTCCTTGAGGGCTGTGTGGAGGCCAGAGCTTAGAGCCTGAGCCAAGTGGCCTGTGGCCCATGTGCCTGGAACACATAATGGATCTCAGTTTCTGATGTGGCTGCCATCATGCCTCCTCCCTCCCTTCCTGTGTCCCACAGTTGATTAGTGTTGGTTTCAAGGTGTCTTGGTTACATTCCTGTCACTGTAACACAATACCAAAACATCCTCAACTTAAAAGAGGAGAGATTTATTTCATAGATTTATTTCATAGCTCATAGTTCAGTCCATACTTTGCTGGCTCCAAGGCAGGAACACGATGGCAGAAGGGCATGGCCAGGGAAAAGGTACTGAACCATGGCAGCCAGGAAGCAGAGAAAGAGAAAGAGCCAAGGAGGGAGGTATATCCTTCCAGGCCAACCTCCATGACCTACCTCTTTTGACCAGGCCCCACTTCCTAATAGCACATTTGGCTGTGAACTTATCAGTGAAGTAATCCACTGATGAGTATAGCACCCCTATGATTCAGTCACCCTTAAAAGCCCCAACTCTGAACACATGAACCTTTGAGGGACATTTTAGATCTAAACTATAATACCTGGTGATATAAAAATGGTGTTTGAACCACACCCTTGTACCCCATAAGGACACCTGTAAAATGGCAAGGTGTCAGTGTGCTTTTGCTTACTGAGCTTTCTTTTTTCCTTCTAGGGAACTATTATCAAGTGATGCAATGAAAGAATACAACAGGGCACGAGTCTACCTGGATGAAAACTACAAATCACAGGAGCATTTCACAGTGAGTCTCCTTCTGTTCTCTGGTGTCAGAGCTGGTCAAGGCAAACTTCTTTGACACTGGGTCTTCCTCTAAGCCAAGAGTTGGTCTGCATGCTCTCTGTTGCTAGCACAATGTGATTGGCCTGAGTTAAAATGTTACCACATCCTGCAGTCTGTTGAGTAGCCTGTTGAGTAGTTCCCATGGGCTGGTGGGGATGATGGGTATGGCGCAAATGAGCATTTCAGGAGTGCTCCAGGGCAGGTGCTGTTGGTTACCTTCTCAACACCTGGTACAGGAAAAGCTGAAGTGAGAACTTGGGTGGGGATAGCTAAGAAATAGAAGCTCTTGTCTTCAAGGTGTATGAAATAAGAGGGGACACTCAGCACCTCTGGAATTACACAGTTGAAAGATTGAATTGCAACCTGGCTGTTCTGCAGAGCTGTGCTGCTGTGCTTAGCCATCCCTTTGTGACCCTAAGCTGGCCTAGAGGCCAGGTCTGCTTCCTAGAAGGGCTGACCTACAAGGTAGCACAGGGGATTGGAGCAGAGCCTCTGTGGAGGTAGGCAAGATCTGGCTCTCCTTTACAAGAGTCCTGGGTCTGGTAGGATGGTGGCCCCCATAAGGTGCAGGAGCCTTGGGAGGTATGAGGTGCCAGGTGTGTGGAGGAATGGAGCTCTTTACAGGAGATATTTGGAAGGTTTTGACTAACTAGTTGTTGCTTTAGAGATTAACTTCCTCAAGCCCTGTCTCTGGGGAATCTTTAGGCCTCGTTGGATTGGTTAGTTTCCTCTGCTTACTTTCCCATGTCCTTCACCTCAACCTCTGTTGCATCATCACACTTATAGCTACTTGCTTATCTTTGTTTTCCATGAAGGGGAGTTCCTGCAGGCCCTTCTGGTCCTTGTCCTTCAGTCCATCCCCTGTCCTGGGAGCTTGGTGCAAGCACTTAGTTAGCTATTTCATTGCCTCATGGAGAGGCAGTGCTTGAGTGCTGGGGATGGGTGGAACAGAGATATACCTGCCTTCCCTTGGGGTGTGACTTTGGGATTCTACTGGGATTAAAGAACTATCTATAAAGATGTCAGTCTCTGGATTTGGGGCATTTGATGCCAGGTAAGTGACATTTTTATATTGCTGAGACCATCACATAACTGTAGACTCCTGGCATCTGGTGTTAATGAGCCTGCATAATCCATGCCCTTGTCACTTACAGCTGCCCTCTGCAACACCCTCAGGCCCTTCTCCAGGCCTGCCCTCCACCCACATGCAGAGGCAGCCTTGTCTGCAGCTCTGCTGGCTAAGGCGAGGCTGTAGGAGCTGGGGCCCTGGTCTCCCAGTGCTCAGGACACAGCCCCTCACCCACCCCCCTTCCTCTCTTTCTCCCTGTGTCCTTATCCTTGCTGACTTTGTCCTCCTAGCTCCGGGCTCACCCATCCTTCTCAGAGAAGGCAGCTTCTCTCAGTCCTTTCACTTTTCTCTGCCAGAATCCATTTTCCTCTCTTCTCAAGTGGGTTTTATACAGGTGAAAAAGACAAAACCTAGAAAAAATACACTGGCATCCAGGTATGGTGCCTCATTCTTATAATTTCAGGTGCTTAGGAAACTAAGGCAAAAGGATCCAAAATTTGAGGCAAGCCTGGGCAGCTTAGTGAGATGCTGTCTGTCTCAAAATAAAATTTAAAATAAAAAGGGGCTAGTGATGTAGCTCAGTTTAAGGCTCTGGATTCAATTCCCAATACCTCAAAAACAGACATACAGAAAAATGCACTCGCTGTGATGAACAGCAGAATAGATACTGCAGAAGTGGAGAAATAATCATGATGGTAGGTAACTCTGCATGGATAAAGAGGGGGCCACTCCTTGATGGTGGAGGAGTGTCCATATATAGGGAAGAGCCGCCTCCTGATGGTGGGTAACTGAGACGGCTGAATTGGTGCTCTCCACTGATGGTGGAACACTGTGTGGATGAGGAAGGGCTACCTTCTGATTGAGGACTGTGCAGGGATGAAGAGGTTCCATTTCTTGATGGTGGAGTACTGTGCAGAGATGAAGAGAGGCTGCCTAGAAGGTAGGAAAATATGCTGCATAATAAGGGGCTATGTCCTGATTCTGGAGGAATGTGGCTGGATGAAGAGTTACCATCTTCTTATGGTAGATGACTGTGCAGGAATGAAGAGAGACCACCTCATGATGGTGGAAGACTGTAGGCTTGAAGAAGTGCTACCTCCATGTGGTAGAGGACTATGGAGGAATGAAGAGAGTCTACCTCATGATAGTAAAGGACTGTGCCTGGGATGAAGAAGGGCCAGCTTCTGATGGTGGAGGACAGTGAAGGGTTGAACAGGGAATGATTTGAGATTTCCTTTCTTTTGGAAAGGATGCCAGTGTGGAATTGGGCCACTGGTTTCTGAGATGCTTGTATCTATATGGTACCCTATAGTACTCAGTGATGGTATTATGCCCATCTATTTTTCACTGGACATATTTTGAAATGTAAAATCTCTGATACCTGTGAAATACCAGGCTCAGTTGCATAGGGTGTTTGGAAAAGCTACCCTAAGGCAAATGTACCCTGTGGAGTCCCTGAGGCTATTTCCCTAGTTTCCCACATTACTGGTAAGTTTCTAGAAAATGGGCTGGCAGAAGGCTTGGGCATAAGTGTGTCATGTGATAGTTTAGCTCAACAATGAGTTGGAGTCATGGTGGGGCTCTTTGCATGGCATGTGGTATATCTGCTGCTCTCTTCTCTGGCTCAATGAGTCCCTGTGGTCTGGCTTCCTTTTCTAGTGAGGCATCCTCCTTGTGTCGCCTGCAGCTGTGGTTTTGTTTAGGACCCTTCATAGCTGGTTGAAAGGCTGTAGGGAGCCTTGATTAGCAGGTAATGTTTATGGTCAGGGCTGTTCCTTACTTTGGACACTGAAGCAGTAGTCTTTTATCATCCCTGGTTATCACTAACACTGTAACAGTAACGGTCACCTTGGAGCCTTGAGTGTTGCCACTTTATCCTTGTCCACTGTTCCTCTCAGTTTGGCATAGCCTTTAGTGGGGGCTTCTGAGTGTGCTGATAGAGAGGACTCTGCACCCCACGGGTCCTGAGCAGTGCTGGGTGGCATTGGCCAGCCAGGTGGCCACTCTTCTGCATTCCTCCCCAGAATAGTGCCCTCTGGCTTCAAGTGGAGAAAAATTTAATCTTTGTAAGATTGATGGTATTGGAGCAGTATTTTTAGCTGAGTCTAATTCAAATAATAGGCCATTAATTGAAAAAGGAAATTGAAATGAATTTATCTTGTACGTAAATGCTGTCATCATTACTAATAGGAATCAGAAAATAGTAGCCTGATCTCAGAAAGCTGTTGAGCTAAACTGTACGTCCCACGCATGTGAGCTGGTAGTAGGGGAGTTGGCATTTTGGCAGTGGAGGTTTGCTATTGGTGGCTTTTTTTAGGTCTGTGGTGAGAGGATCTGCTGCTCCTGTTGGTAGGGAGATAGTTGACTGCATTGTGGGAGTTTGGTGTGTTTGTGGTGGGGTGTGCTGCGCTGTTGGTAGTGTTTGTCATGTGGGTGGCCAGGTTCTATTGCTGGGCAGTCTCTGAGGGGCTTCAGGCAGGCAGACAACTTGCAAATGACCTTTGTTGCCAGGAGGTGGCGCCAGTGCAGCATCTGTAGCTAGTGTGCTCCCTGCAGGAGATGCCTGTAAGGGGATTTTGGTACTTAAATGGTGACATTGTTTTGTTTGCTCACAGGAACATTTATGTGTGGCTACTCATATAAGTAGGAAACTCATCTGCCTCTGTGCAAAGACTGTAAAGATGATCCATCCTTTCTCCCTGGCCTCCCTGGTGGAATTTTTCTCCGTAGTCTGTGCCATTGACCACGTCTACCTGCATTTGCTGTGGAAAGTTGGGTGTTGGAAGTCTGCTTCTCCAGAGGTGCTACAGTCTGGCGTGTTCTGGCACCAACACTGAAAAGCTTAGGTCTTTGTCTGGTTCCTGGATACATATGTGGATGTCTCCACCACTTGTACAGAGGATACTGGCCCAGAGCATTGGCATTAATGTGAGCTACCCAAAGGATATAAACAAGTGTGCTGTGTCTCAAGACCCCAGAAGTGCCTCCAACATTTCCTTCTAGTGAGGACCACCCTCAATCCACACAGCATAGAGGTCTCTGTGTTAGATTTATAATCCTGGCCCCCATGCTGTGTTGCTCTCTTTGCCCCAGCAACTTGGGATCGCCTATCATTGGGGTCTGCCTTCTTGGCTTCTCCCTGTGTCCCTCCCAGGCACCATGTGATGGGGAATCTGGTGACATGGAACTTATACTTCTGGGGACCAGATCGCTCATTATTGGGTCCTAGAATGTCCAGATGAAGGAGCTACATTGACTGCTCTGCACACTCACGTCCACAGGTCCTGCTCCTGGTGTAGCATCCAGAAACACAGAGAAGCAAATAAAAACAGGAGTCTGTTGTTTGGTCTTCTTTCTATGAGCTGGGACTGTGGCCATTACCTTCCCAGCCCTGTGTTTCCTGGTCCTTGCTCCTCTGTCTTCCCCACAGCCTTTGCACTGGCCCTGCTTACCTATCTGCCCCTTCCTTCTCCTTGTGGAAAGCCTTGCCCTGATGCCCTGGCCTCTTCCTGGAGCTCTTGCCTATTTTCCCCTTTCTGAGGGACTTCTCTTTTCCTGGCATGAATGTACTCTTCCACATATACATGCTCCTTATCTAGTGTCTGTCTCCCCACTGCCTTCAGATCAACTCTCAGAGGAGAGGGGTCTCTGCCTCTCAGCCCAGCCACACATTACAAGTATCAGGTTGGTATTGGGTGAAAAAAGCCCTTTGAGGATCATTCACATTGGTGATGGAAGATCCACAGGGTTGATCCACATGTTAACAACTTGGTGTGTGACATGAAGCTGTGACCTTGTCTCAGAAGCAGTTCAGACGTAGAGTTAGGAGCCTTTCTCTTATAAGGTTACTCCAAGGTAGGGCTAGGAGTTTTCTCAGATGGTGCAAGGGCTCA